GGGAGGATCAGAAATTCAAGGCCAGCCTGGGCTAAGTAAGGAAGATCTTATTGAAAAACAATTAGGGGCTGGAGAAACAGACAGTTCAGTGTTCAGAAAATGTCTCCTGTTTTGCAGAGGACGTGAGTTCAGTTCCCAGCACACAAAAACTCCTGTAACTCCAACTCCAGGGGGATCCACTGCCTCTGACTTCCTTGGACATTTGTGCTCCTGAGTGCTGGGATTAAGTTTTACTTACTTATTTTAGTCAAGGTCTTAGGTAACCTAGACCTTGTTGTAACAAGGCCTCAAACCCTGTGTTGTGACATGGAGGGGGGGCCTGCTTGTTGTTGGGGTTTCTGTCCTGCCTGTACCCCCAGCTGTTTAGCCCCAAAGAAAATCACACATAGATCTCTATAAGTTATAAAGCTGATTGGACCATTAGCTCTAGCCTCTCACTGGCTAACTTTCACATTTTTCTGATCTATGTTAGCCATGTGGCTCAGTACCTTTTTTTAGTGGGGCAGATCACATCCTGCTGCTTTGGTGTTCTGGGCAGGAATGGGAGTAATCAACTTTCTCCTTCCCAGAATTCTCCTGTTCTCATTACATCATTTCTACTTCCTGTCTGGTTTTCCCGCCTGGCCAATCAGCGTTTTTTTGAAACATGATTGACAGAATACAGACAATTCTCCCATGCCACTGCGTAGCCAAGGAACTTGTTTGGGGGGTTTTTGTTTGTTTTTCTAGACAGTGTTTCCCTGTGCAGTTCTGTTTGTTCTGGAACTCACTCTAAACCAGGCTGATCTCCAATATCTGTCTGTCTCTGCCTCCTGAGTCCTGGGATTAAAGGTGTATGTCACCACCACTTGGCATGAACTTGTTTTTTTTTTTTTTTAATTATCTTATTGTATGTGTGTGAATGTTTTGCTTAAATGTATATGTGTATACCCTGTGTGCTTCTGGTGAGAAGGTTGGAGGAAGCCTCAGATCCTTTAGAACTGGAGTTGTAGATGGTTATGGGGCACTATGTGGATAATTAGGTCTTCAGAAAGAGCAACAAGGTCTCCGATCTGCTGAGCTGAGTCTTCAGCCTGATCTCAGACTCTTTGTCTTCTTGTTTCTACCTCTCAAGTGCTAGGATTATAGCCACCACACCTGGCTCTTGTGTTGCTGTTTCTTTTTGACACAGAATTTTACTGTATAGTGGGCAGGCGATGGTGGTGCACGCCTTTAATCCCAGCACTCGGGGAGGCAGAGGCAGGCGGATCTCTGTGAGTTCGAGACCAGCCTGGTCTACAGAGCTAGTTCCAGGTCAGGCTCCAAAGCCACAGAGAAACCCTGTCTTGAAAAACCAAACAAACAAACAAAAAAAAAAAAAAAAGGAATTTTACTGTATAACTCTAGCTGGCTCCAACTTTTGGTAGTCCTCCTCTCTCCCTCTCCCTTCTCCCCCCCCCTCCTCCCGCTTCTTATCTCCCTCTCCTTTCCCCTCCCCCTTTCTCTCACTTTAGGATTACAGGTTTGAGCCATCACGTGCTGATTAACTCGGAAACCAGACTGGATTCTGGGGAATTTGATTGCTAAAATGAAACTAAGGAACTGAAAGAAGGTCATGATTACTAATGTAGCTTATAGGCTTGCCCTCTCTCCAAACTAGCTGAGCCATTTTCAATGTGAAATTTATTTTCTTTTTACTTGAACTTTCATAGCTCTCATTTGGATATTTATACTACTAGCTCCAGGATTTGCACTACAGTTACTTCACATAGGCATGTGTTGTTGTCTTCAAAATTCACTACAGGGCCCTTGTATTCTTTGCAGTGTATAGATTGTGATGGGTATGGGGTATGGTATGTAAGCTAGACTAATATTTGTCTTATGGGGATAATGGTTCTAAACCATTATTTTTAGAACTAGTTGGTATGGTAGGTAACTTAATGACTCCTTAGATTATTCTGACCTTTATGTCTGTGGTCATGCTGTTCATGCATCAACATTTCAGGTTCTATTTACACTTCGGTAATAGGGGCTGGACAGATGGCTCAGTGGTTAAGAGTACTTGCTGCTTTTCCAGAGGGCCAGGTTTGGTTCCCAGTACTCACATGTTGTCTTCAGGGGTTCTGGTATCTTTTTTGGTCTCATGCACAGCTTGTACGTGGTACTTTTATACACATTCAGACAAAATAAAAATATTTTAAATTTTGATAACAGTTTGAGATTATGTTGGATCTAGGAATTATATATTTTTATGACTAGTTACCTGTTATTTTTAAAATTTAAAGTTTGCATGCATATACCATGATGCTTTTGTGAAGTCAGCGTACAACTTGTGGAATCTGTTCTCTCCTACCTTGTGGGTACAAGGGGTTGAACTCAGGCCATCAGGCTGACAGCAAGCAACATTACCCTGATTTACCTTGCTGTCCACTAGGAATTGTATTTGCTTTTGCTACTAAACTACATTTCTTTTTATTTATTTTTTGGTTTTTCAAGACAAGATTTCACTGTGTAGCCCTGGCTGTCCTAGAACTTGCTTTTAAAATCAGGCTGGCCTTGAACGCACAGAGATCCTTTTGTGTCTGCCTCCTGAGGGCTGAGATTAAAAGTGTATGCCACTACTGCCTGGCCAATTTATTTATTTTTATGTACGTTGATGCTTTATCTGCGTATATGTTTGTGAAGTGTCAGGTCCCCTGGAACTGGGCTTACAAATAGTTGTGAGTTGTCATATGGATGCTGGAATTGAATCCAGGTCCTCTGGAAGAGCAGCCAGTGCTCTTCACTGCGGAGCTATCTTTTCAGCTCCATCTTTTATTTTTGTGAGATAGTTACATGTAACCCAGGCTAGTCTTGAATGTATGTATGTAATGAGGCTGATTTTGAATTCATTGAAATAGTCCTGCCTCTTTCCCAAGTGTTGGGATTAAAGCCTCAGCTCCAGCCTGGCTTCTCTGTCAGTAATAGTAATAATTAAAATTAAAAGTTTATTTCTTCTTTTGGTGCTAGAGATTGAATGAGGAGCTTAATGCATCATAGGCAAGTGATCTGCTCAGCTGTATTTTCAGCCCTCTCTGGAAATCCTGTGGCTTAAATGTTAGTCTGCTTGATGATTCTCCTTCATTTGTCTTTATCCTTCATTCATTCATTTGAATTGATTCTTTTCCTTTTTGCTTCTGTGAGTTGATAATTTTATACTGTCCTTCAAGTTTTATGATCCTTTCTTCCTCTTGCTCAATCAACTTCATTGTTGAAATCTGTGTTGTTGTTTTATCATAAGCAGTGTACTTTTCCACTCCAGAATTTTTCACTTCTCTGTATCGTTTCTCTTTATTGATACGCTTATTTTGATTATCTTTTTTTTGTATTTATTTGTTTATTGTGTGTGTGTGTGTGTGTGTGTGTGTGTGTGTGTGTGTGTGTGTAGCAGGATGAGGAGGCATATAGAGGTCAGGGGACAACTTTGTGGAGTCTCTTCTCCTTTTCAACCTTCAACATTTTTGGGGGTTCTAGGAGTGGAACTCTCGGGCGTCATGAGGTTTGTGTGGCAAGCACCTTTACCACCAAAAGAATCATCTTGACAATCAAACATGATAGAGAAGTTCTTAATTTATAATATGACAACGACATCCACATTATTAACTGTTAAATTTAAGTAGGCAGAAAATTTCAACAAAATGATCTTTATTTTATTTCTTTTTTTTATAGTTCTGGCTGTTCTGTAACTTGTGTAAACTAGGCTAGCCTCAAATTACAGAGATCCACCTACCTCTCCTTCCTGAGTGCTGGATTTGTTTTGTTTTGAGATGGGGTCTCTCTATGTAGCTTTTTGTCACAGATCTCATTGTGTATACCAGGCTATCTTCAAACCCACAGAGATCTATGTGCCTCTTGCCTTCTGAGATTACAGACATGCGTTACCATTCCTGGCCTTTTTGCTTGTTTTTATTTATTTATTGTGTCCTAGAGCTCACATCTGCCTGCCTCTGCCTCCTGAGTGCTGACATTAAAGGCTTTCACCACCTGGCTCAGGACACACATTTTAAATTGAAGCTTCTTTTTCCTTTATAAAAAAGTAAAATTGTTGAAAAACAAAGCAAAAAAGGCTGAGTTGTTCTCTCTTGTTCTTGTGTGTACATGGGCCACAGCATGTTTGTGGAAGTCAGAGGACAATTTGGGGAAAGGTAGTCAGGCTTGGAGGCAAGTGCCTTTACGCACTGAGCCATCTCACAGCTCTGAGCTTTTTCTTTCTTTTCTTTTTTGTCTTTCATTCTTTTTTGTTTGTTTTTATTTTTGTTTTCAAGACCAGGTTTCTCTTTAGCTTTGGAACCTGTCCTGGAATTAGCTCTTGTAGACCAGGCTGGCCCTGAACTCACAGAGATCTGCCTGCCTCTGCTTCCCAAGTGCTGGGATTAAAGGCCACCACCGCCCTTTCTTTCTTTCTCTCTCTTCTTTTTTTCTTTTTCTTTTCTTTTTTCTTTTTTTTTTTTTTTTTAAACAAGCTCTTTATTACTTAACTGGGCTTGAATTCACAGACATCCAAGTGCCTCTACCAACAGAGTGCTGGGAATTAAAGACATATGCCACTACCCTTGGCTGCAAAAATTTTAAAGATTTTTTTTTTTAATGTATGTGTATGCTTGTGTTTCTGCCTCCTGAGTGCTGGGATAAAAGGTATGCACCATCATGCCCAAGAATTATTTTAGTTATAAATTGATTATAAATTTTCTGTTATCTGTATTTATTTACATTTATTTTGTGTATATGTGTGTGTGAAGAAGTTAGAGGCTAGCTTTTGGGAATTGATTTCCTTTACCATGTAGCTCTAGGGGATTAAACTCAGGTTGTCAGGCATAGGGGCAAGTGCTGAGCCTTCTCACTGGCTCTGTATAAATATTTTAAAGTGGTGTCTGAAAATATCCATCATGATGTAGTCCCTGATAAACTTATCAAGCAAAGATTAGGTAGTTTAGTTTATACTTCATGTTCTAAAGTACTTACTTGTGATTTATTTTATACAGGTACTACCGTACTAGAGTTTGGTAGGAAAAAGATCGACTTATTGAAGCTTTCTTGATATAGAAAGAGATGTGGGGGGATTCTCGATCTGCTAACAGAACAGGACCTTTTCGGTAAGTCTTAAATTTTAAGTATTTAAATTTTCAAGTATTTATAATGTAACTTGACTTACCATAAAGGCAAATATTTTCTTTGTGGAGAAATAACTGAGTTTTTTTTTTTTTTGAAGTAGAAAACATTTTAAAAGTTTCTAGTCATTTCTAAATTGATTGAGAATATATGCCCAGTATGTGGCAAATGCTTTGGTTCTGAGCTATAGCCTTAGCCCTTGATAGCTTTTTTTTTTTTTTTTTTTTTTTTTGGAGACAGAGTTTCTCATCTTTTTATGTATATGTAGTCCCGGCTCTCCTGGAACTCATTATGTAGACCAAAGCTGGCCTCAAATTCGGAGAGATCCTCCTGCTCCTGTCTCTGGAGTACTGTGATTAAAGGTGTGAGGCATCACACCCAGCCAGTAACATTTTTCAAATATTAAAAATATGCCAGAATTATTTATCTGTTTTGGGTTTTTGAGACAGTTGTGTCACTCTGGCTCATGTGGACCTGAGCTCAATACATAGCCCAGATGGACACTGAAGCTGTGGGAATCCTTCTAGCATCCCAGGTGTGAGATTATTTACTTACTTTCAAGATAAGGTTTTACAATGTGTCCTGGGCTGCCTTTGAACTTTTGGTCTTTCAGTCACAGCTTACCAAATAGCTGGAATTGCCTTCTTCACGCTTGTTAATTCTTTTATCTATTTTAACAAAGCAGTATATATTTTGAAATCTAGAAAAATATGTTGTGCTTAAGTTTATGAAAGCTCCATTAAGGGGCTGGAAGGATGGCTCAGCAGTTAAAGAGCATTTGTTGCTCATGCAGAAGATCCAAGTTTGGTTCCCCAAACCAAAGCATCAGGGAGCTTACAACCACCTGTAACTCAGCTCTCAGCGATGCCACTCCCTATTTTGAACTCGTCAGGGACCTGCACACAGATGACATATACTTACATATATATACATATTTACATATATAAAAGTAAAACCTTGAAAACTATATTAATTTCAACAATTTATGTCTAGACTCTAGAGCTGTGTCTTGCTTTTGAAATTGATATGCTTTTCTAAGCTACACAAATATCAGCTTTAGAGGTTTTGGGTACAAAGAGTAGAAAAAGTGGTAGCCCTTAGTTATAAATGGATTATGCTTTCATTTTGTAGGAATACTTTTAAAAATGCTTAGTGTATGTTTATGTGCGTGTATATCTGTGTAAGTGTGTGTGGAAACCAGAGGAGAGTGACAGAACCCTCAGAGCTGGTGTTACTAGTATTAATGGGATGCTAGGACTGTGTCTCTTTAAATGATCCATATTGACTTTAAACTAGCAATTTTCTAATTCCAGCCTCTCAAAGTAGTATATATGTATGTGTGTGTGTATTACTAAAAGTATATTTTATACTTTTATTTTATATATATTTATATATATATATATTATATTTTTTTTGTACACACACACACACACACACACACACATATATATATATATTATTAGGGACTGGAGCGATGGCTCAGCAGTTAAGAGCATTGACTAGTCTTCCAGAGTATCTAGAGTCAGTTCCCAGTACTCACATGGCGGCTCAAAACTGTCTGTAACTTCAGTTCCAGAGGATCTGACATTTTCACACAGACATAAATACAGATATAAAAACACCAAATGCACACAAAATATAAATAAATAATAAGTAAGTAAATAATGATTTTATTTCATGTGCATGAGTGTTTGCTCACATGTATGTATGTGTATGTGTGTACCACATGAGTGCCTAGTGCTCACAGAGGTCAGAAGAGAGCATCAGGTCTCTAAAAACTAGAGTTGTAGACAGTTGGGAGCTGCCATGTAGATGATTGCAGCCACTAAGCCATCACTCTAGCACTGGCAGTAACTTATTATCCAAACATAGCTATGCTCATTTATTTACAAATTGTGTGTGGTTGCTTTCATGTTGTAATTATAGAGTTGAATAGTTGTGGTAGCTAATGAATACTCTACAAAGCCCCAATATGTTTACTTCCTAGCATTTAGTGTAAAGTTTGTCCGTGCATGGTGGCACACAACTTTAATCCCAGCTCTCGGGAAGTGTAAATAGATGGATCTCTGTAAGTTTGAGGACAGCCTGGTCTACACAATAAGTTCCAGGACATCCAAGGCTATGTAGAGAGACCCTTTTTCAAAAAACCAAAAATAAATAAATAAATATAAAAGGTTTGCCAAGCTCCAGTCTAAATCAGTGTTTATATGTAACATTTAAAAATATTTAGATTAGGGCTGGAGAGGTGGCTCAGCGGTTAAGAGCATTGCTTGCTCTTCCAAAGGTCCTGAGTTCAATTCCCGGCAACCACATGGTGCCTCACAATCATCTGTAATGAGGTCTGGTGCCCTCTTCTGGCCTGCAGACATACACGCAGACAGAATATTGTATACATAGTAAATAAATAAATAAATAAATAAATAAATATATTTAGATTATTGTTTGTCTTCTTAGTCTATTTATGGATAATTATTTTGTATGTCAGACTATTTCTTATAGAATTAAGTAATCCAAAAATTTTAGGGCTGGGGAGATAGCTTAGTGGTTAAGAACGTTGACTGCTCTTTGAGAGGACCGAGGTTCAATTCCCAGCACCCATATGGCAGCTCACAACTGTCTGAAACTCAAGTTCCAGGGGATCTGACACCCTCATGCAGACGTGCATGCAGACAAAAACATCAATGCACATGAAATAAAAATTAAAAAAACAACAACAAAGAGCAGTAGATAGATTTGGCTCTGTTGCACAATTTCCCCTTCCTATATTTAAGAACTTTTTTTTCTTTTGTTTTTTGAGACAGGGTTTCTCTGTGCTCTGTACATCACTGACTGTTCTGGAATTTACTCTACTGTAGTCCAGGCTGGTCTCCAGCCCAGAGATCGGCCTGCCTCTAAATCCTGAGTGCTGGGATTAAAGGTGTGGGCCACCACCACCTGGCTTGTTTTTGTTTTGAGGGTCTTTCTGTGTAGCTCAGACTGGCACTGAATTCATTCCTTCTGCGCCAGCCTCTACAATGCTGGGGTCACAGGCATCTACCACACATAGCTCTTACATGATGTGTTTTAGGTATGTGTGTGTGTGGCATGTGTGTGTTCAGTCTCACTTGTAGTCATAGTGGGCCTGGAACTCACTATGCAGACTAAGCTGGCCTCCTAACTCACAGGACTCCTGACTCTGTCTTCTGAGTACTTGAGTTTTTGTTTTTGTGTTTTCAAAACAGAATCTCTCTGTCTCTCAGCCGTAGTCCTGGCTGTCTGTCCTAGAACTGGCTGTCTGTCCAGGCTGGCCTCACAGAGATCTTCCTATCTCTGGCTAAGGGATAAGTCCCTAATTTTTAAGGTATTTGACCAGAGGGAGATATTTTTGGGAGACTCACAAAAAAAGGTATCTTCTAGGAAAATGACTTTTATTTGCTCTTTGAGATACTTTTCCTCGTAAAGTTGTTTTACTATAGTTTAAAATAATTTCTATACCCACTACTGTTTTTTGTTTGGAGATAGGTGCTCACTGTGTAGCCCTTGCTGGTCTGGAATTTGCTATGTAGACTAGACTGCCCTTGAATTCACAGAGGTAAAAGGCATGGGTCACCAATCTTGGCACTACTGCTGTTTTATTTTTAATAAATTGTTTCTTTTTTTTCTTTTTTTTTCTTAAAGATTTATTTATTATGTATACAACAGTCTGCCTCTGTGTATGCCCACACGCCGGAAGAGGGCGCCAGATCTCATTACAGATGGTTGTGAGCCACCATATGGTTGCTGGGAATTGAACTCAGGACCTCTGGAAGAGCAGCTGATGCTCTTAACCACTGAGCCATCTCTCCAGCCCCCTAAAATTGTTTCTTGATTAAACTATAAAATATAGATAGAAGAACTGTAGTGTGGTAGGTTACTATTGATCTGCTTGAGTTGAGGATAAGATAATCCTCATGGCAGTATTCAAGGACAATGCTGGATGTGTTCTGGTGAGAAAATGCATACTTTTAGATGTCTCTGCAGTCATTCCACAAGTGTCTGTGGAAGCTTAAGTATTCCAAAAAGCCAATTAGTAGGACTTGAATGATTTTTAACTATGGGAGACACTGTGGTTAATGATAAAATTCTAATTTTTGTGTTAAATTTTATCCTTATGAGGAATATTTAAACTTGTTTATGATGAACCACGAAGACATAACTGTTGTTAGTATTATTGAGAACCAATAGAAATTGTCATGTTCTGAAAATCCATTAATTGTACATTGTTCTAATGTTTGTGTTAATGCTTTAAATTTCTATTTACTTTATGAAAGTGTTTGGTGGGGAGATGTAAGAAAAACATCTGGGGAGATGACTTACTGGGCAAGAATGCTTGCTGAGAAATCAAGAGAACCTGAATTTAAATTTCTAGTACCTACATTAAAAAATAAAAAAGAGCAGTGTGGTGGAGGCAAATACCTTTAATCCCAGCAGAGGAGGCAGAGACAGGTGAATCTCTGTGAATTCAAGACCAGCCTGATCTACAGGGGTAGTTCCAGGACAGCCAGGATTACACAGAGAAACCCTGTCTCAAAAAACCAAGAAACAACAGCACGTGCTTCTAACCCAGTGTCAAGAGGGTGGAGACAATGATCTATAAGCTCAGTCCAGCTAGCCCAACTAAAACGGTGAGCTTCAGATTCAGTGAGAAACCAGGTCTCAAAAAATAAGGTAGAGTGCCATAGAAAATGCTTAATGTCCTCCTCTGGCCTCTACATACATGCACCCCTCCCATGTGTGTTTATGTGTGTGTGTGAGGTGTATGTGGATATGTTTGTATGTTTATATGTATGTATTAAAAACACATAAATGATAAATTAAAAATAAGGTACAAAGGAAGTGCTGATGGTATTGTAACTGATCTCTTGAACCGAGTGATCTAGAGTCGGTTGTCTTTTGAGTTTTAGTATGTTGGTGTAGTTTGAGCTCAGAAGGGTCATATGATAGAATCTCTGTGTTTGGGGAGGAGAGACTTCAGTTGGTCCTGATAAAATCTCCATGCTTTGGTTGTACTTCCAAGTAGTAGATAGCCCTTCAGTCACCCCCCCCCCCCACACACACACCTTTTTTTCCACATGCCTCTCTGGGATTCCCAGGTGCCTAATTGCCTATTTAAGTTCCTTAATCTTTTGGTATATTGAAACAGGGTTTCATTCTGTAGCTGAAGCTGGCCTTAAATTCAGGATTATCCTCTTCAACATTCCAAGTAATAAAATAGTTGTTTACCACCATGTGTGACTGTCCCTTAATCTTTGATCAAAGCCAAAATGTGTAAAATGCTCTAGTGTTTAGCTAAAGGGAGAAGTTTGGTAGTATGAAAGACTGGGCAACTCTTGTTTATTTATTAAGTTATGTAAATTGAGAGTATGTTTTGCCTGAATGTATATATGTCATGTGTACCTGCTTCCCGAAGAGTCCAGAAGAGGGTGTCAGATCCCCTGGAACTGGATTATAGAGGTTGTGAGCTGTTATGTGGGTGCTGGGAACCAAACCTAGGACCTCTGGAAGAACAAGAGCTCTTAACCACTGAACCGTCTCTTCTGTTCCAAGTATACTTTTGTTGTTGTTTGCTTTTCTAACTGTTAGTATTTTTAAAATAATGTTTCATTGCAGTAAAAAGTTAGCTTGAGCCAGGTTGTGGTGGCCCACACCTTTAATTCCAGAACTCAGGAGGCAGAGACAGGCCAATCTCTGTGAGTATGAGGGCAGTCTGGTCTACAAATCAAGTTCCAGGACAGTCAGAGCTGTTACACAGAGAAACCCTGTCTTGAAATTAGCTCGAGGCTTTAGAATTTGGTGTGTCAACTTCTTTATTTGGTACATGGATATTATGCTTAAAGATATTATGTTCTAGATTACTTTCAGATTTAAACTTTTTAGATAATTTAGCTTGGCAGAGATGACTTAACATGTTTTATGGTTGATTGATATTGTCTTTGATACTGTTGGGTAGTTATAATTGTACACAGCTGAGGGTTCTTCAGGTAGAGCCACAGTAGAACTGGTGTTTAGTGCTATTACTGGTCATGAAGATATACAACTAATCTTCCTTTTTGACCTTTACTCATCGGATTGAATAAAATCCTTGATGTACATACAACAAAATATTTTTGGAATTTTTACCATCGGGTGCATCAATGAGAAAGACACATCCTGAAACTTACAAGAAATTTTATACTTTGAGGCTGAGCATGGCTGCTTATTATTATAATTCCATTACTCAGGAAGTAAAGGATTGCTTCAAATTCAAGACCAGCCTGGTCTATGTAGTGATTTCTAGGCCAGTTAGGCTACATAACGAAATCCTATCTTAAAAACAAAAGAATAAACCAAACAAATAGAAAATTGCATTGATTTCCCTGACTCCACATGTATAGTAATTGTCATGATGATCTTGGAATTTTAAGTTCCTTGACGGTAGAAAATGGGAATTTTTGTAGCATGTTCCTTTGTTAGCTTATCTGGTATTGCGGATTTTCCCTGTTGCAGGACTGGGTGAAAGCTTTTTCTGCAGCAGTCATGTTGAAAACCTTGTGTTGACTTACCTCGTGTTCTGAAATGGGAGCATAAAAGTTTACTCGGACACCTCGTCTTAAAATAGCAAAACTTGCTGTTTTCTGCAGATCTAGGACCTTGTTACAGAACTCTGCCCCCCAAAATGTGTTTACAGAAGAATGTGCTGTGATTAGAGAAGAATATGCTGGTGTGTAGATTTCAAACTCTCTGGACAATATGAATAACCCTGTCTTTGTTTCTACAGTGGGAGCCAAGAAGAAAGGTTTGCTCCCGGGTGGAACAGGGATTATCCTCCTCCTCCCCTTAAGAGTCATGCTCAAGAGAGACACTCTGGCAACTTTCCTGGCAGAGATTCACTTCCCTTTGATTTCCAGGGGCATTCAGGACCTCCCTTTGCAAATGTAGAGGAGCATTCTTTCAGCTATGGAGCTAGAGATGGACCACATGGTGACTATCAAGGAGGGGAGGGACCTGGACATGATTTCAGAGGAGGAGATTTTTCATCCTCAGATTTCCAGAGCAGAGATTCAGCGCAGTTGGACTTCAGGAACAGGGATATACATTCTGGGGATTTTCGGGATAGAGAAGGAACACCTATGGACTACAGGGGTGGAGATGGTACTCCTATGGATTATAGGGCTAGGGAGACACCTCATATGAATTACAGAGACAGGGATTCTCACCCTGTTGACTTCAGAAGTAGAGATGTTCCTCCATCTGACTTTAGGGGGCGGGGCACATATGATTTAGATTTTAGAAGCCGAGATGGACCCCATGCAGACTTTAGGGGAAGAGATTTATCAGATTTGGATTTTAGATCCAGAGATCAGTCTCGTTCTGATTTTAGGAACAGAGATGTATCTGATTTGGACTTTAGGGATAAAGATGGAACACAGGTAGACTTTAGAGGCAGAGGTTCAGCTGCTACTGATCTAGACTTTAGGAATAGGGATACACCACATTCGGATTTCAGAGGTAGACACCGTTCTAGGACTTACCAAGATTTTAGGGGCAGAGAGGTAGGACCTTGTATGGAATTTAAAGATAGGGAGATGCCTCCTGCGGATCCAAAAATTTTGGATTACATTCAGCCTTCTACACAAGAGAGAGAACATTCTGGTATGAATGTGAACAAGAGAGAAGAATCCACACATGACCATGCAGTAGAAAGGCCTTCTTTTGGTGTTCAGAAGGGAGAGTTTGAGTGTTCAGAAACAAGAGAAGGAGAAACACAAAGTGGAACCTTTGAACATGAATCTCCATCAGACTTTCAGAACAGCCAAAGCCCGGTTCAAAACCAAGACAAGCCAAAGCTTTCTGGAAGTGAACAGCAGAGTTCAGATACTGGTCTGTTTAAAGAAGAAAGTGATTTGGACTTTCTTGGCCGACAAGACACTGATTACAGAAGCATTGAATACTGTGATGTGGATCACAGGTTGCCAGGAAGCCAGATTTTTGGCTATGGCCAGAACAAGTCTTTTCCACAGGGCAAAATGTCCCGAGATGCCCAACAGGAACATCAGGTATGTTGATGAGGTGGTTCATAATACTTTTCTCAAGGATGAAGTGTAGAATGCAAAATGTTCAGTCCCTCAAGTCTTATACAACTATTCAAAAGCAAACTTTGTATTTGAAAATGGAATAATGGAGTTTAAATATCCAGAGAAAGGCTCTTGACCCAGAGCATGTTTTTCATGTGCGTTTTAGTCGTTTTGTTTTATTGTGCTTGTTTAAATGACCTATGATAAATTGATCTTAAACTATCAGTCTTGAGCCAGGTGGAGGTGGCGCACGCCTTTAATCCCAGCACTCGGGAGGCAGAGGCAGGCGGATCTCTGTGAGTTCGAGACCAGCCTGGTCTACAAGAGCTAGTTCCAGGACAGGCTCCAAAACCACAGAGAAACCCTCTCTCGAAAAACCAAAAAAAAAAAAAACAAAAAAAAAAACTATCAGTCTTGGGGAGTGGGTCTCACATCTTTTGGAGTCCTTGTGATTTGGGATTTATTTTCTTATTTAAGTTCACTTAGAGAATGCTTAGAAATGTTTTTGCAGTCATGAGGATATGATGTTAATGTTGCAAGTTTCCTCTTATAGCTAGCTTAATTAGCTTAAATGTTAAGTTTCTTAAATCTAAGTGAGGAGAGTTATATACTTGCAATTAATTACAAAAATTATCTTAAAATAGATTTTACCCATATCTACTGCAGTTTCTTTTATTTTGTGATCTCTTTCTCTGTGTGTGTGAGTTTTCTTTTTCTTTCTTTTTTTTTTTTTAAGACAGGTTTTCTCTGTGTTGCCCCAGCTGTTCTGAAACTCACTGTGCATACCAGACTAGCCTTGATCTCATAGATCCACCTGCCTCTGTCTCCTAAGTGCTAGAATTAAAGACATGTACCACTATGCCTTGTCTGTCACTTGGTGATCTTAATACTTAGTAACCAAATAGTAGGTTTTGAGAATTTTAGAACATGCTTTTTTATTATATTAAGACTCCCTCAGTAAGCCTTGTTCTTAGCATACTTATAATTCAGTAATGCTAGGGAAAAAATGAGAGAAAAATGTAAGTTCTCATTTCTTGACTGTATTTCATGTTGGGTTTTATTTTACATGTAAAAATAAATCTATTTGTGAAATAACTTTACATTCTGAATTCAAGGATCAAGATTATAGGACTGGCTCAAGTGAGGAGAAGCCTAACAGACTTATTCGATTAAATGGGGTGCCAGAAAATGCAACAAAAGAAGAGGTAAGGCATATGCTCTGTCTCTGTTAATTAAAAAAAGAACCAGGTGTGGTGACACATGCCTATAACTCTAGCACTTGGGAGATAATATGCAGAAAGATTGCCAATTGAGGCCAACCTGGACTAATTGTGAGAATTTATCTCAAAATTAAAAAAAAATTAAAATTCACTTTCAGAAATTACAGGTTCATAGGAGCATGTAAAGAAATGTACAGAGTCAAGTGTTGTGATAGATGTCTGTAATCAGTACTCAGGATGCTGAAACAGAAGATGAAAAATTTGAACCCTAGGAATGGATAGTGGGGCAAGGTAGATATATATAAGCAAGTACAATGATACTTATGTGTGTACTTATGTATGAAAACACTACAATGAAACCTGTTATTTGGTATGCTAACTAAAACAATTCGGCGCCAATGTTGGGCTTGGTAACAGAAGCCAGAACTGAGCCTGGTTGTATAGGCCTATAATCTTAGCCCTTCAGGAGATTGAGTCAAGATTGTAAGTTCAAGGCTTACTTGGGCTGTAGAATGAGATCAGGACAGCCCCAGGTCTTTTAGTGAGACCCTGTCTCAAAATAAAAGTTTAACTGGGCAGTGGTGAAACTGGGCAGAGGAGAAAACGGGGAGGTCTTTGTTAGAATGGATTAATTTGCTGTGGTAAAGGAAATAGAGGATGATGGAGGGGGTACAAGGGAAAGGGGATATATTCGTCCCAGAGGGAAAAAGTACTGCCTCTGGATAGGGAGGAGACAGATGTGGCATATAAACAAAAGGCAGTTTATAAAGGTAAGGAAAGGATGAAACCACATGTTAGGATGATGTGGTTAATTTTAATTGGGTATGCTTTTTAGGTGAACCAAAGGGAGCTTTTGATAGTGGATTTTGGAAGTCAGCCTCAGGAGGAAGAGGTCAAATAAGGGAGTAGACCTTAGTGAATAACTTTAGGAATGTGACCTAATGGTATTTTAGCAAGGCAGAGGGAAAGAGGAAGAACATCAAGACCCGCCTAAGTCACATGCATGAGTGGGCTAGTGTCCCTTCATTTGTTCCTTCAAATGTCCCTACCAGCTGAGCTATCTTGTCAGATTGAGGATTGGGCCATTTTAGATTGAACTCAAACCTGAACAGAACAAATAACTAGATTAAGTTCTAGTGCTAAGGCCCTGGACTGGACTAAATTGTACTCAGTGCATTATTTTTAACACGAGCCATTAAGCATTAAAGGGTTACACACAGCAATTAAAGAGAGATTTGGAATATATATATATATATTTCAAAACCTGTAGTCTTTAAAGCCTTGCTCTTTTGCCTTTTCGAAGAGTGCTGGGTGTGAATCCAAGGCCCTGAATATGCTAGGCAAGCTCTCTACTACTGAGCCACTTTCTTTCTACCTACCTACCTACCTACCTACCTACCTACCTACCTACCTACCTATCTATCTATCTATCTATCTATCTATCTATCTATCTATCTATCTATCTATCTATCTAATCTATTGGATTCTGGAGACGTGGTTTCTCTGTGTAACAGTCCTGGCTGTCCTAGAACTTAACTTGGAGGACCAAGCTGGCCTGGAACTCAACAGAGATCCTCCTTCCTCTGCCTCCCAAGTGTTGGGATTAAAGGCATGTGCCACCACGCCTGGCTCCTGAGCCACATTATTAACCCAGCTCTCCTGCCTATGTATGGTATATTCAGTTTCTGTTTCTTTTTCTCTTTGGTATGCTGCCTCTACCACTTCACATTGAGCTTAGCAACCTTGAGCTCTGGCTAGCTGGGATCATAGGTCTTTGTAGTCATGCCCAACTTCATTTATCACCCTTTGAATATATAGAGTGAGTATGGTTCTCAGGCATTCTGTGTTTTGTGAGTTGGTCAAAGAAAGAGGTTACTCCAAAATGTAATTTTAGGCTCTCTTTGGCATCAGAAAGGTCCAGCCTCTGATGGAATGAACCTTGAACAGCCATACAAAGGCATATTTATCGGTTGTTACACAAAGTTGTTTTTTCCTAATTAAATTCCTTATACCAAATCTATATGTTTTTCTGAAGGAAAGCAGCACACCCTCACACTTTAGTCTTTATTGTGTACTGTTTTCAGTACCCAGTAATCTCCAAGAGCGTCAGGTGTGCCTCGTGACCAAAGTCATGCGAAGGCTTTAAAGCTCCCTCAGAAAAACAATTGTATAAGTCACAGAAAACTATCACTATTTTCCACAATGACTTCTTCAAGGTCAAAGTACTTTTAAAAAATAACTGTTTAGTCTAATGCTTACCCTAGATACAGTGAAAACACTATTCATTCTAATGTTTACCATAGATACAGTCACTCTGCTAGATTCTTACAATATCGTTTAATTTGTCTTTATAAAATAATCCTTGCTTTAAATTGTATAGAGTGAAAACCAGTAGGGAAATATAAACATTAACATTTAACTATAATTTGTATCATTAGTGTAAATGTCATATTTTTGCAGATTCTTAATGCTTTTCGGACTTCTGATGGCACACCTGTAAAGGAGTTGCAGTTGAAGGAGTATAATACAGGTGAGCTCTTTTGATGTGCATGTAATCTTGGATTAGGAAGAGTCTTGGACAGATGTCTCTGCATTATGTGCTACTCAAAAATTTTGTTTTTAAGAAATCACAAATAAGATTTTCAGAAGTTTCCTGTTGGTGCCTTCAAATAACAAGCAGCTTTAGTCTTAACTGTGGTTCTTTGTATGGCTGTTTATTCACACATGGGCAATGAGGATGCATGCTCCAGTTCTTCTGAGTGCCTGTGAGATATAAAGTGAGTGCTGTGGCATCTGTCCTTGACTGTTTTATATGATTAAATTATTAAACTTGTTATTTATGTTTTTCATGATGGTGGGATGCTTACATTTGAGCCTAGTGAAATTTAGTAAGCTTACTGTATATAAAGTTTCATATTTCATTGTTTCAAGATGAAATTTAACAGCTTACCAGAGAAATTGTTCAAACTTGTAGTTTCTCCAACTTTGTGTTGCTCTGACAAGAGTTCTGCCACAGCTCAGGCTTCGAAATCCATGAATAGGTCTAGAAGAGCTTTCTCTTCAACCTCTGCAGTCTGAAATGCTGTGATTGCTTCTAGTATTTTGATTGCCACCTTTGGTCACCTCCTTTAAGCCTTACTATAGGCAAGTGAAATACCGCACACTCAAAGTTTTGCTGAATATTTTTGGGACTCCATAATATGAAATAGATTAAAAATAATTGGTTTGGCAGTAGTGGTGTACACCTTTGATCCCAGAACTCAGAGGCAGAGACATGTGGATTTCTGAGTTTGAGGCCAGCCTAGTCTATAGAGAGAATTTCAGAACAGTCAAAACTACACAGAGAAACCCTGTCTTGAAAAAAAAAAACAAAAATCAATGAATAAGTAAATAAAAATAAAGGCAATCTTTTTTTCCTAGAATTTGAATTGAAGAAAATAGAGCATTTACATTTTATAGAAAATAGAGAATCACAGTAATATATTTAAAGGCATCTTCAAGTTAGAGTGTGTCATATTTTGGAGGATATAGTTCATTTTATTATTTGTTTAATCTGTTATTATTATTAATTTTTTTCTAGTCCTGGGGATTGAACCCAGGCTTTTATGTGTGGGCTGGGCAAGCTACTAACCTGACCTTATAGTTAACTTTTAAATAATTTACGATGGAATGAAATTTTGGGGAGGGGGAGGTTTGAGACAGGATTTCTCTGTGTAGCCCTGGCTATCCTGGAATTTGCTCTGTAGATCAGGCTAACTAACATCAAATTCAGAGATTCACCTGCCTCTGCCTCCTTAGTGCTGGGATTAAAGGTGTCACCATCACTGCCCAGTTTGGAATGGAATTTTAGTATCTAATGAGATAGCTTCTTTTTTTTTCATGAGTTCTGCAGTGAAAAGCACAAAAATAAATTATTGTGCTTAAAATAATGTGGTTTTTAAGTCTACAAGTGTATTTTTTCCTGTAATTAGAGAGGAAACTCAGAAGTATTATTTCTCAGAAAACAATTATTTGTTTTAAATAAAACATGACTAAGAGTAGATATGTTATTCTTGTGTGCCTTAATTTTGTAGGTGTTTGTTGCATGTGTCTGATATATTCTCTGAGAACTAAAGATAGAATTAATAGGGTAGATATGCTTTTTAATTTACAGGGTGATAACCTCAGTTCTTGTGTCATGAACTGCTTCCATTAAGTATTGATATCGTTAGTAAAGCAGCCGCTTAAACTCTTTAGTTTCTGTAGTACTCAATGATTTCCATTTCAATAGTTAGGTTTGCAAGCAAGGTAAAATTACATAAGTGTGTAGGATCCAAAGTGGAAGTATTTAAGTTTGCTAGCTGTAATGGTTCCTAGAATCATAATTGACAGACTTAAGGTACTGATGCATATATAAAATTGTTTAGGATGTTAAAAGCAATGACCTTTTGTTATATGACATGATTGTATATTCAATATGTAGTTTCTTTTCTTTTTTTTTTTTAAATGAATAAGTTACTAGTTCCATGACCGGTTTTATACCTGCAGGTGACAGGTAGAATGAACTTTAAATGATGCCTCTTAGATCATGGTATCCTTTATGCCTAAAACCTTTATATATAGCTGCCTATCTCATATGGAAGAAATCCCCATTTCCTTTTTCTAACTTATAAAGCAGACTGTAAGCTGGTCTATGACTGTGTGACCTCTTTCTGTATCAGTTTTTAACTTATTATCTGTAGCCAAACCGATCTTAAGTCTTTGACCAGTAACTGCTCATTTCTTTGTCAGATCCTTTTAACTGCTTCCTTTTTTTTGATCTCCACTTATCTTCTAGGATTTATTTCTTGGCTTCCCTTTTAACTTCATTTTGAAGCTTTACCTGCTGTCACTCCCATAGTTGCCTTTTTTTAAGTTCTTATTTATTATATATAGAGAGTATATTACTATGAACACATTAGTGTGTTTTTTTGTTTGTTTGATTGAGACACTGTTTCTATGTAGCTCTGGCTGCCCTGGAACTCGCTCTGTAGACCAGGCTGGCCTCGAACTAAGAGATTCCCCTGTCTCTGTCTCCCAAGTGCTGGGATTAAAGGCGTGTGCCACCACCACCTGGCGCTAAACATCTCTTAATCTTTGCTTCTCATATTTGTTGCTTGGAGGATTACCTTTCTTGTTTGAACTTCAGGGAGCTCATCAAACCATAGACCTCAATTAGAGGTAACAGGATTAAAAAAGAATTAATGTCTAAAGAGATGCTGATGTTATTGTTATTTACAGAGATCAGAAATATTTATTTGGGGCTGGAGAGATGGCTCAGTGGTTAAGATCATTGCCTGCTCTTCCAAAGGTCCTCAGTTCAATTCCCAGCAACCACGTGGTGGCTCACAACCATCTGTAATGAGGTCTGGTGCCCTCTTCTGGCCTGCAGACATACATGCTGACAAAATATTGTATACATAATAAATAAATAAAATAATTTTTAAAAAAAAGAAAGAAATATTTATTTGTTCTATCTGTAACTCACCTGTCTCTGTCCCCAGGTCCTGGAATTAAAGGCCTGCACCATCACTCCCTTTTTAAAAAATAAATTATTTTTACTTTATGTGTATGAATGTTTTACCTGTGTATATATAAGTGTACCCTATGTGTGCAGTGCCTACAGAGAGACCAAAAGATGGAATTGTGGGAACTGAAGTTACACAGTTGTGAGCCACCATGTGAGTGCTGGGAAGTGAACCTTATATATAAATGAGTCTTCTATAAGAATAGTGGGTTTTGGGCTGGAGAGATGGCTCAGAGGTTAAGAGAACTGGCTTCACTTCCAAAGGTCCTGAGTTCAATTCCCAGCAACCACATGGTGGCTCACAACCATCTGTAATGAAATATTCTGCCCTCTTCTGGCCTGCAGGGACATATGCAGGCAGACCACTGTATACTTAATAAATAAATAAATCTTTAAAAAAAAAAAAGAATAGTGGGTTTTCTTAATTCCTGAGCTATCTCTCTAGCCACTGTTTTTATTTTGTTTTTATAGCTCAGGCTTGACTAGAATTTGTTATATAGTTTTTCTGCTTCTGAAGTGCTGGAATCAGGTATCTGCCACCATGCCTGATTTAAGAAGGTACAGTTTTGTTTTATAGACTGACCTCAAATGTTGAGGAGAGCGGCAGGCTGCGTCCCACCACCCGGCTATCTTTACCCGAAATAATTACACGGAAACTGTATTCTTTTAAACACTGCCTGGCCCGTTATCTGTAGCCTCTTATTGGCTAGCTCTTACATATTAATCTAACCCATTTCTAATAATCTGTGTAGCCCACGAGCTGGCTTACCAGGAATGATCTTAACCTGCGTCTGTCTGGAGTGGGAGAATCATGGCGACTCCCTGACTCAGCTTCTGTCTCTCAGCATTTTGTTCTGTTTACTCCACCCACCTAAGGGTTGGCCTATCAAGGGGCCTAGGCAGTTTCTTTATTAATAAGAAATCACTCCCACATCAACTCTGTTCTTTAGTTCCTGATTGTGCTTTGTATAGAAGCATAGAAGTACTGATAGATGTTATTGCATCCCAGAACCACTCTATAGGAATTATCACAGGTAGGGGTGGTGGTTCACATCTATATCTATAATCCCAGAACTTGGGAAACTGAGGCAGGAGATTCTTGTAAGTTGAGGTCAGCCTGGAAGAAAACTAAAGAAGCAAAAAAGGAGTTAATCGTTTCTACTCCACATATTAGATAACAAAGCCCAGAGACATGTGGCTTGACTGTGATCACGTGTGAGTTAATTGTAGTTTTATGTCAATGTTCAGAACTATAACTTAACTGTAACTATAACTTACTTTTATGTTGCCCAAGTTATGATGCTCATTCTGATTGATGTGGCATTGAATGAGCCAAATGCTGTGCTATTATTTGTTTGGAGATACAGCAATGAAAAGAAGACTTTTGTCTCTATCTGGGACCTCAGTTGTTTGGTCAGTTTGCTACAGGTGATATTCTCTCTTGATCCTTCTGTTACTCTATTCTTTCTCCTGGGATGAAGTGTGTTCTTGCCTTGAGAAAAACAGGTTTACAAAGGTTTTATCCCCCCTTTTATTTTCTGATTGGTTGTTTTGTGCACGGTGGGTGAGTGAGTAATGGTGGAAAAGGAGTGAGAATATGATTTGAATGAGATCACTGACTTTAAAAAAAAATAACTGCTCTCCTTTGACTTAATTAGTATCTGGAAATAGACTGCTTATTTCTTCTCTTCTTGACTCATTCATTAGATTATGGTCTCTAAGTAGGACATTATCCTCCATTGTGTTCACACTGCCAATGTATTAAAAATAAATCGAGTAAGAAAGTTTCCTAATGGTTGTTCTGCTGGACCCATTATCATCAGGATAAAATGACACTTGCGACTAATTTCAGATTTTGAAATAAAAGTAGTGGACTGTGGCAATACCTATCTATAATCTCAGCATTGGGTAAATTAAAGCAGGGGGGGGGTGTTATTCAGTTGGAGGCCATCTTGGGTTGTGTAGTGAGTTCAGGACTAGTTTAA